ATGATACGAAGATTCGAACTGAGTTTATCACCGTAAATAGTGAGGGTTTCGCCAGAGGGAAGATTGAGATGAATAGCTTTCTCGTAACAAAGAATATCGGCACGATTGGGGCTCAACCAATCCATGCCGATTATGACATCGAAGCTCTTAATGGATACCGGCATAAGGTTGATGGGAAAGGAATGACCGTCTAGGGTAAGAGTACAGCCTAGGAATATATCGTTAGTGATCTCCTTCTTTCCGTTAGCCATCTCGATGGTAAATGTTTCTGTTAAAGGTTGGGATTTACACTTGATTAGATGTTTAAATGCATGACTAACAAAGCTTCTCTCCGCACCAGAATCGAAAAGAATGCATGCATAAGAGTTGTCAAGGAGGAACGTACCCGTCACGACTGTAGGATCAGCGACCGCTTCCTCCTGGCCCATAGATAGTACCCTTCCAGTGTTGCCAGCTTCTACTGCCTTGGGGCAATTTCTTTTGAAATGTCCAATCTCTCCACAGCCATAACAGGCTTGACCAGCACCCGCCCCAGGAGCCTGATTGGTAGGTTGGATTGGTGCTCTGCAGTATCGGGTCGTGTGTCCCTTCCTTCCACAGTTGTTGCAATTCAAATCACGGCAAGGTCCGTGATGATGAAAGGTATACTTGTTGCACAGAGGTAGTTTCCCTGAATAACCACCGGTAGGAGCTTGGGTGGTTGGAACAGCAGTGGGAGTAGCAGTAGGAGTAGTACCAGCGTGGACTGACACTGTTTGTTGCTTCTTGGAGGGCTCCTGGGAGACTGGCCCTTGTGTTTGTTCCAAAATTTCTTCTTCTTTTCACCACTCTCCTTTTGGGGCTCGACGACCGCTGATGCCTCATCCAGATCGATCCCATGATCGATCAGAGTCTGTGCCAGATCCTTGGTGCTCTCAAACGTGGCCGATCTAGCAGCCAAGACATTCCCCTTGGTTGGTTGCGTCAATCCCCAAATGTACCTCTCGATTTTCTTGCTTTCCGGGGTGACCATTCCCGGACAGAGGAGAGCCAGATCACAGAATCTCGCGGTGTAGGCAGCGATGTCGGACCCCTTCATCTTTAAGTTCCAGAGTTCGTGCTCCAACTTTTGCACCTCGCCCCTCGGGCAGTATTCCGCAAGCATGAGTTCCTTCAGTCTTTCCCAACCCATGGCATTAGCCACTGGCAGGGTTAGGGTTTTGACTCGACCATTCCACCAGGTCAAGGCTCTGTCGGTGAAGGTGCAGGCGGCGAACTTCACCTTGTTTGTTTCGGAACAGGCGCAAATTTCGAAGATGGATTCGATCTTCTCGAACCATCGAGTCAAAGCGATGACACCTCCATTCCCGTCGAAGGACTTGGGTTTTGCAGTCATGAAGTCCTTGTAGGAACACTCCTTTTGATGTCCCTGACTTCCATCTTGTCTCTGTGGGTCGGTTCCACCTCCAGCCCCGCCAGCATTCACTTGTGCCATTGCTGCAGTCACGGCGGCTGTAACTGCTGCCTGAAACATGACGGGGTCGAACTGAGGGGGTGGTGGTGGTGGCGAAGTGTTGTCGTTTCTTCTGATGGGTCTTGGTCGGGGAGACATCTTTTTCTAGAAACAATCAAGGAGAAGAGGATGGTAAGTCCTCAAGATATATGAAACAAGATATATCTATTCCGATAATAAAAGAGTTTTACCAAGCGATAAGCACAGGAAGGTTACTAATGCAAGTAAGTTATCGCTTAAGGAAGAAGAGGTAGCAATACTTAGAGTGATTCTGTATACTGAGTTTGGCTCTAGCTAAAATACTCCTATAGTATTTTATGTGGGATGATTTTGGTAAGTTTTAGGTCTGCTGTAACACTACCGTCACTCCCAAGCACATGTTGGTCATGTCTCGACTGAATATAGTTGATCAGGCTATATTCACCCTAGACATGATTACATAACTGCCCAGGTTTAACCGCAGCGATCCAACATCCAAATACTTTTTGTTTTGTTCTACTAGTGACACGAATTCTGTTATGTATGCATGCTCGTATACTTTTTATAAAAATACTTATATTTTTGAAAGTATACTTTTAGTGTAGAGCACTTAGGCCCCTTAGTGTTTATAGTTGTATACCACGTAAGGTTCGGTATACTAGTTCGCTATAAACAAGGGCTCTGATACCAATCTGTCACACCCCGAAACCAGACTGGCAGAAACGTTCCGGGGTGGAGGACATCATGCGTAGTATCACAACAATTGTATAGCAAGCATAGTAAACACAACCAAACATTGAATACAATATGAAAAAGTGTTTACATCAGTTTAAAACTTGTTTTTAAGAACATCAAAAGTATGTAATCATATAACAATATAACTCTTATTGCTCCGGCTCCTCAAAATCCAGCAGGTACCTGTCTACTGATTCCCTGAGAATACAAGCAGTTTTGAAAGAATATCAACATAAAGCTGGTGAGTTCATAAGCATTTAGTTTTTGTGGAAAAAATGTTTCTTCGAAATCCTTTTTTGAAAAGTGTTCCTCAAGAAAATCCTATATTTTCTTACGAAAAGTAGTGTTAAAAGAATATCTAGCGGTAGAAAGTAAACCATCAGTTTTAGAAATGCTAGTGTTATCCTGGGAAAATCCTATATTTTCCCTAAAAACGATTATCTGTACTAGAGGTAGAGATGCCAGTCTAGAGATCCCTGATTACTATTAGTGTATATATAAGTAGTTTTATTACTCAAAATAAAACAAATGAAGATTTGAGTCCGTAGACCAAAAATAGTTTATACTTGTTTTGTGGGTCGTATAACCATACTTGATATGACCGAGAGACCTTTATAACGTTCTTCAGGCGTTAAGCTAAATGACATTTGTTCACCACAGACGTGCCCGCCTAACTGTAGCTAGCAGTTCAGGTGTGGGATTGTCAGCCCCGAATAGATCTATTCACAAATCTCACGCTCTCCCTCCAGGAGACTCTGGTTATACTGGGATAGGATTTATCACTATACACCTAAGGGTACAGTATTAAAGTAGAGCCTCACAATTATGTATAATCTAGTTTACTAGCGAGAAACAGTATAAAAACATTGATTATCCTTGAATAATAGTACTTTATACTCTTGAGAAAATATATAACATAAACTAAATCTGCCATAGTTTATATATATTCATTTATGAAATCTGATTAGGTAGAGACTGCCTAGAGGGTTATCCCAAACTATACCCATTATAGTTTATTAGAATTTGTACGAAAATTGCTTTGTAAAAACCTTTCTGAAAGCTATGAAGTTAGATTTCCAAAATAGTAGTTTCCCTTATGCTCAACATATTACAAAAAGAGATAAAATATCCGAATATGTTATTAAACGTGGAAATCGTTGGACTGCATTAATAAGTTTAAAACTTAATAAAATACTTTGAATTTGGCTTGTATTCCCTCCCTGAAAACATTAAAAACACGGAAAATGTAGGGGTATGAACTCACTGTTTGACGTAGGATTCGAGCGTATGATCGGTGTGGATGCTGAGTGTCAACTGGTGTTTCTTGCGCAAGTGGATCCTATTAACATCCGGTAACACATATGTGTGTTAGAATTTGGGTGTTTCATGACTAAACATGACGGGAAACCACCCTAAAGACTTGGAAATGCTTGTCGGGACCCTATATGATCAAACGAGGGAGGTGTACGGCCAAAAGAGTGTGTGTGCGGCCAGGGTGTGCGGTCAGCATGTGTGTGTGGTTGCACACAGGAGTGTGCGGCCGTACAGAGGGCGTGTGCGGTCGTACAAGGGAGTGTGCGGCCGTACATAGGGGTCTGCGGCCGTACACTCTTCATTTATGCCCAAAATGTCGATTTTCGGGTGTTTCAAATCCAATACCAAGTCCAACTAGCAAAATAGAGTCCAAACTCTCACTTTGGAGAGTCTTTAAGGTGTGTGCGGCCACCTTATGAAGGTGTGCGGCCATACAACTTCATATGATGAAGAACATGATGAAACTTTGATGATTAAGGGCTTAGATCAATGGGTCCTTCTTGTATGTTAAGCTAGGTGATGGAGAACTCACGCTTTTGAGGCCTCGAGAGGGTTTGCGGTTGAAGAATCTTGAGAGAAAGATGATGTGTGCTGCCAAGGTGTTAAAGGAATGAAAGGAAAGGGGTCTACCCTTTATATAGGGTGGGTGTGCTGCCCAAGAGTGAGTGTGCTGCTAAAGGAGTGGGTGTGCGGCCGCACACCCATGTGTACGGCCGTACACTCCTCCAAGAGGTGTGTATGGCCCGGTTTTCTCACTATGGGACATGCTAACTCATTCCTAAACTCAACCTTGGTCAAATGCAAGCTTAAAACACTTAATGAACCCTTGAGTAGCACCAGAAATCGACAAAACAAGTTGAATATTGATTGTATTGACTAAGTGTACAAGATAGAAGTTCCGGGTTGTTACACAACCTCTTGCTTCCAACGTTGAATCTTCGAGTAGGCTTCTTTATATTTGTTACCCCTATATCCATCATGATCTTAAGATGACTATAAAAACATGTTGGAGAATTTTGGTTGTTGCAAAAATGGATCTCAGTACACATATATGGAGTGAACATATATGGATCCCATTTCCTTACACTTGTGGAAATGCACATTATGGTTTATTTTTAAGTGTCCTACCACTTAGAGCATCCACAATGGTAAGTTCATTGGGAGAGTTAAATGAGAAGACAAGTCTGGTTGTCATTCAAATTTTGAGGGAAAATGAAGCGTTTAGTGTCCATGGAGATGCTGGCTATCATGCTAATGGTTTTGTTATACGATTGTGTAATGAGCAAGGTGTGTACAAACAGTCCCATTCAGCTTTCATCCCATACTTTCCGATCCACCTTATTGCATTCAAATAACAAGAGTTGGATAGAAGAGGTGTACTCTATCAAAAATCAAAAGTTCACTTGGATGATGATGAATCCACCTTATTGCCTGTTTACTCCCTAGGAAAGTTTTGAACGAGGAAGATGAATTCACTTGGATGATGATATATAGGAAAATCAAGAATCCACATGGTAAGTCTCAAAAAGCTGCTGAGGATTTCTTGAATGAATTGCTTCTAAGTGATGTGAGATTGGACCCTGATTCAATTTATGGTGAAGCTCAACAAACCAATTTGGAATACCTGTTGATGTTGGATGTTGATAGATTGATTTGGAGCTTTAGGAACACTGCTGGTTTGCCAACCATTGGTACACACTATGGAGGTTGGGAGTCCAAAGATGAAGAGCTTCGTGGTCATTTTGTAGGGTGGTTTGCTTTATTTCCTCAATCTTATATTTTTTAAGTCTTATATTGTGTTTAAAATCTCAATCTTGTTAAAATCAAAATGAAGGGCATTACTCGAGTGCCTCTGCTCAAATGTGGGCTAGCATTGGAAACAATACTCTTAAAGAGAAGATGACTGCAGTGGTAATATGCACTTGCTGCCTATCAAGAAAAGATAGGCACAGGGTATCTCTCTGCTTACTCATCTGAATTTTTTTATTGTTTTGAAGCTATTGAAAATATTTGGGCTCCATATTACACCATTCACAAGGTATATGTTCAAAAGATTGTTACTTATGAGATAAACATGGATTAAGATTTTAGTTCATATAGTTCTTATAATTGACAGATAATGGCTAGTCTAGTGGATCAGTATCTTCTGGCTTGGAATAGTCTAGCTCTAAAAATGGTGACACACATGGCTGATTATTTTGGTAAACGTGTGCAGAATGTGCTCACACGATACACTATTGAAAGACATTGGCTATCGTTGAATGATGTCCTTTACACACTATACACTATCACAGTATGCTCAAACTCCCTTCATCATGCTTTGTTTTAATTTGTATAGCAAAATGTATGTAAATGATATAAATGAACTCTTGTTATCACTATACAATGACTGAACTCTTGTTGTGGAGTATTATAACTATTTTATATATATGCATCCAGGGAGATACGAAGCATATATGGTTGGCTGATCTTTTTGATAAACCCTGCTTTCTTTGACTACTAGCTCTAAATGTAACTTCAATGTATTTCTTGAATTTTTATCAAATTAGTGAATGCTCCCTTTAAAATTACGACATTAGCAGATGTTAGTCAAGCTTTAAAAGTTTCCTCGATATAGTGTTTTCTTAATATACTATACTCGCTCCATGTTCACTTGAAATGTCAATAATTATATAAATTGGTAGATTTTTTAAAGTACAATAAGCTAATGAAAAATTGAAATTACAAAGTTGTGACCTGTGATAGAAAAAACTGAAAGTAGGATGTTATAATAACCATATAAAATTATAAATGAAAGTGTGTTGCTATTTATTGTATTCAGCAATCCTCAAAAAGTTTGTTTTGATTCCATTGATGTAATTCAGATGAAACATATGCAGTAACATATTATGTTATCGTTAGAAGATGTAACTTTTATGCTTTTTTGATGAGCATGTTTTTAATCTATATCTTATTTGCCACCATGTAAGGCTGATGACATATCTGGTTATCATGCAAATATTCATATTCCAATTGTTATTGGAGCTCAAAAACGGTATGAAGTTACTGGTGATCCTTTGTACAAGGTATACGGGTTGTAAAATTATTCCCTACTAACCCCCATTACTACACAAAGTCAAATTCTAACCTTTTTCATATCTGGCTGCTTTTATTTATATGATTTCCTTTTCCAGGAAATTGGGATATTTTTCATGGATATCGTGAAGGCTTCCCACATGTATGCTACAGGAGGCACATCAGTCGATGAGTTTATAGATTTGCATACTGATTGATCAAAAAAAATTCTTTGATGATAAATCAATAACATTTTGATTATTAATCTAGTGAATTATTCTTTGTGTTCTTAGGTCAGAATCAAAAAGACTTGCAAGCACGCTACAGATAGAGAATGAAGAATCTTGTACCACGTATAACATGCTAAAGGTATTTATTTGCCAATAATATAGAAAATGATCAAATGTTTCGTTGCTATTTTGGGGGGTGTAAATGACATCTTCTGCAATTTTCAGGGGGCAAAAAGTAAATTTCAGATGATATTAATTTGGTGTGTCCACAGGTCTCTTCTAACCTGTTCAGGTGAACTAAAGAAATGGCGTTTGCAGACTACTATGAGCGAGCCCTAACTAATGCTTTTCTGAGCATTCAAAGAGGGAAAGAACCTGGAGTTATGATTTACATGCTTCCATTAGCTCCTGGAGCATCTAAAGCTACTGGATTCCGTAAATGGGGATCACCCTTTAATGATTTCTGGTGCTGTTATGGAACAGGTTTGAATTTCTACTTTATCCGGATTTAGATGAGGTAACAAAAGAGAAAAATATATGACTTTGATAGATTATCTCAAATGGTTTCTTTAGGGATTGAATCATTTTCGAAAATGGGCGATTCAATATACTTTGAAGAAGTGGCAACATCATCCGGTACATATCAAGCTCACTTGAAATCAGGGCGGCTTTTTCTTGCACAGAAAGTTGAGCGTGTTGTTGTGTTGTGTCATGGGATCCTCACCTTCGAGTCACAGTGACCATTTCCTCAAAGAAGGTAGTAAGGTACACATAACATCACATTTCTTTATAAAATACATTATATTTTTGGTAATTAATTATTATTTTTATCATTTTATCTATAGCAAGGAGCTTCATCCACCTTAAATTTTAGAATACCGTATTGGACAACTTCAAATTCAAAAGCAACACTTAATGGCCGGGCTATTCCTATAACGACTCCAGGTATGATTTTTTGAATAAAAAACCTAAAATAAAAGTTCAAGAAATCTTTACCTTTCTTTTGTTGATACAGATACTTTCTTATCAGTTTCAGAACAATGGAGCTCAAATGACAAAATTAACCTTGATCTCCCGATAACTCGTAGGATGGAAACAATTCAAGTTTCAGGGTACCATTTTTAAAAATCTCATTTGATAAAATATGTTTCTATTGGCACACATTTGACAATTCACTAAAAATAAATAAGTGTAAGATATAAATTCATGACTTTTAAGTTATTTTGAACAAGTCCATTAGAAGGGGTGGCCCCATGTCCCCACCTGCCCCTCGAAAAAAGTTTCGTAGAAAGATAGTTTTAATTTTAATTTTTTTTTTGTTTGGGATGTTTGTTAACAGTTATCTAATGTTAGAGTTATTTTCGTTTAATAAGTTAGGATTTACAATTTCAATTAATTCTTTTGAATTTAACATTTTTCAGATGATTGGCCTGAATATACTTCACTTCATGCTATCATGTACGGTCCGTTTTGCGACTAATTAAATTCACTTTCGGAATGGATAACTCCAATTCCGAAGGATTTCAATTCCCATTTAGTTTCTCTTTCCCAGGAATCCAATGACTCAACTTTAGCCCTTTCACACACTGCCAACACCATCCCAAAAGTTCCTTAACCCTGGTTCAAATTCCCCTGTATTTGCAACCTTTCGACTCATATTCAAAACCATTGCACAGGACTACTTTGTTAGATTCGTACAATCTTCCTGATTCACTTCTTGTACACCAAGGAAGAGAAAAATCTAATCAAATAACACAAAACAAAGTGGAATAACTCTCCAATTTTATTGATAAAATATAACTCAAAAACTCAATAACGTTTTTCTGCGTCTCATGCCTCGGTGTGTGTATATATATATATATATATATATATATATATATATATATATATATATATATATATTCCTAGACTACCAACTTGTAGAATAAGATTAGGAAACTTAAACCAACTTGCTTAAGCCCCAAGTTTACTTGGTCTCTAAGTCCTACTCGACTTAAGATTCCAACAATCACCCCCGAATCTCTAAGTTCTTTTAGAGACTTCTTCGATCCCGATGAAGCTCCGTATTTCCTTGAACTTGGTTCGAGCTAGCGGTTTCGTAAGAATGTCCGCATTTTGTTCTTCACCGGGAATGAACTCCACCTCCATTTGTTTGTTTTCAACACAATGACGAATAAAGTGAAACCTCATGTGAATGTGTTTACTCCTTCCATGAAAAACAGGATTCTTCGTTAGTTCGATAGCCGACTTGTTATCAACTCTAAGAACCACTTTCTCTTGCGCTTTGTTCATGATTTCTCTGAGCAAATCTTGAAGCCATATTGCTTGACATGTGGTCGCCGTGGTTGCCATGAACTCCGCCTCGCAAGATGATAAAGCAACGATATCTTGCTTTTGCGAACACCATGTTATCGGAGATGACCCGTAGTAGAAAATGTGACCGGTTGTGCTTTTTCTGTCATCCGGGTCAACATTGTGACTACTATCACTATAACCAATAAGCCGCCTTTGTCATGTTCTCTTATACTTGATTCCGTATCCCGTTGTTCCCCGTAAGTACCTTAGGATATGTTTGATTGCATCGTCATGTGATTCTCTTGGACTTTGCAGGTATCCGCTAACAACTCCAACCGCATATGCCATATCGGGTCTTGTTTGCAAGAGATATCTAAGGCATCCTACCACCTTTCGATATTGTGTCGGGTCAATTTCGGGTTCATCTTCGGCCTTTGACAGTTTATTTCCTGGTTCCATTGGAATGTGGGTCGGATTGCAATCAAGTAAACCGGCTTCTTTTAGAATGCGTTAAGCATATGCTTCTTGGTTTATAATAATCCTCGATTCCTTTTGCTTAACTTCAATGCCAAGGTAATAAGTCAATCTTCCAAGATCTGACATCTCAAAGTTCTTGGACATCTCTAATTTGAACCTCTTGATCATGCTCAAATTTGTACATGTGACAAATAAATCAACATAAATTGCTAAAATTAGCAAGTTAGATCCTTCACTTTTCTGGTATATCGATGGTTCTTTCATGCACTTTTGAAATTTTATACTCTTCAAAATCCCGTCAAGCTTCGTGTTCCATGCTCGAGGTGCTTGTCTTAGACCATATAGTACTTTAGTAAGGCGATACACTTTATGCTCGTTACCTTTCTTTATATAGCCTTCCGGTTGCGATACGTAAACAGTTTCTTTCAATTCTCCATGTAGGAACGCCGTTTTAACATCTAAGTGGTGTAGCTCCTACCCATTTGTAGCAACTAAGGCTATAAGAAACCGGATGGTTTCGATTCGAGCTACCGGAGCAAATACTTCTTGAAAATCAATACCGGGTTGTTGCACGTAACCTTTAGCAACCAACCTTGCCTTATATTTATTAATGGTGATGTTTGTATTTTTCTTTAACTTGAACACCCATTTGAGTCTGATTGGCTTCACCCCCATAGGCTTGTTCACAAGAGTCCAAGTATTATTTTTGTTTATCGAATTGATTTCCGCATAGAGACTTCATAAGGGACCATTTGACCTGCAGATCGTAATGCTCCTAGAAAGGCCCAAAAGAGTAGAATCTTACGCCAAATGTCGTAGATAAATATACTCAGTCGAGAGAATAACTAGCGCCTGTCTGTAGTGGTTATAATCTGGTAGATCGACTAGCAGTTTCAGCTACTGCTCGTGATGATGATTTTTATTAGTGAGATGCATGGTTTAAAAAGGCGTTTTGAGGCGTAAGCCTCGAGGCTAGCCTCGGCTGAGGCAGGGGAAAAAAGCCTCAAATCCTAAGCCTCAAATGGCCAAAATGAGGCTTAAGCCTCACCGGAGTGAGGCGGCGTGAGGCATTGAGGCGAGGCGTCGAGGCTTAACATTCATCAGACACAACTTTTTATTGACATTTTGACTTTTATTTAGACTTTTTTTATTACTTTATTGACTTTTTTGTTTTTTATTCACTTGTTGACAGTGACTCTTCGATTCTAACCTATTTTTCTATACATATTTATAAACTTTGTAAACCCTTTTTAACCTAATCAGCCGCCATCGTCTCTTTTCTCTCTCACCATCGTACCCTCTTAAATTCTCTCTAGCAAACGAAAGGCTTCAAGATTTAAGATGGCTACTAAGGGATCACGAACAGATCCAGCTTGGAAGTATGGCGTTGAACATGAGGTGCCGACAGAGGGCGCAAAGAAAGGGTATAAATATCTAAAGTGCAAGTTCTGTGGTAAAGTTATCACCGGAGGAGTACAAAGGTTGAAAGCCCATCTTGCTGGCACACACAAAAATTCAGCACCTTGTCCTATGGTGCCTCAGGAAGTGAAATATGAGATGAAGCAATTCTTGAAATAGTTTGAAAGTTCAAAATTCAAATACCAACGGAATTTTGAGGAGGCCATTAATGGTGGAGCATACTTTGTAGGTAGTGGAGGTGTAAATGGGAGTGTGGGTGTCAACACATCAGGACGTGGAAACTGTTGTCCAAGTGTCCAAATGGGTATTAGAGGCCCAATGGATCGATTTTTGGATACCCCAGGAGAAGATGAATGACCAATATCGGGTGAAAAGATGACATCGGCCACGAATAGAGAGCAACAAAACAAGGTTTGCTTAGACATCATGAGATTCTTTTATGAGAATGGGATCCCGTTTAATGTAGCAAATAGTCCTTCATTTGTTAGTATGCTACGTTTGGTTGGTAACTATGGCCAAGGATTGAAACCTCCTACCATGTACGAGTTGAGAAATTGGATCCTACAAGAGAAGTCAAAACAACAACCGCAACTGTGGACGAGATAAAAGCAACATGGAAGACTACCAGAGTTTCATTGTTATCAGATGGATGGTCAGATATGAGAAATAGAAGCTTGATCAACTTTTTAGTGAACAATCAATATGGTACATTTTTCTTAAAGATAGTTGATGCATCAGATTGTATCAAGAATACCCAAAAATTGTTCGAGTTGCTTGATGGAGTAATTGAAGAAATCGGTGAAGATGTTGTTATTCACTTGGTGACTGATAATGCGAGTGTGTACAAAGCCGTTGGAACATTGCTGATGGAGAAAAGAAAGAGTTTGTATTGGACCCCATGTGTTTCTCATTGTATCGACCTGATGCTTGAGAAAATTGGGGACTTGACACAACAAAAAAATGCCTTAATCAAAGCAAAAAAGGTTAGTAACTTCATTTACAACCATCAATGGGTATTGAGTTTAGCTAGAAAGTATTTAAAAAAAGATATTCTTAGACCAACATCCACGAGATTTGCCACAACATTTTTGACTATACAAAGCATCTATGAATTGAAAGAACCATTACAACAGATGTTTGTTTCAACAGAATGGGGGAGTTGTAATTGGGCAATGAAAGCTGATGGAAAAGAGATGAAGAAAATAATCATGGACGAGAGAAGTTTTTGGCCTAGTGTGGTGTATTCTCTTAAAACCACAAAGCCACTTGTTGAAGTGTTGAGGATTGTTGATAGTGATCAATCACCGGCTATGGCTTTAATTTACGGTGCGATGGACGAGTGCAAAGAAAAAATTGCAAAGAACTTTGATAATGAAGTCTCTTCTTATAAAGAGATTTGGGATATCATTGATGAAAAATGGGAACATCAAATGCATCGGGATTTGCATGCGGCTGCCTACTACTTGAATTCTCAATTTAGATGGAGTCCTAACGTTTCCCAGCATCCAGAAATTAAGAGAGGATTGTACAATGGCATGGACATATTAATTAAGAGTAATGATATTTATATGAAGATTGAAGCTCAACTCGATGACTACAAATACAAAAAAGGAATGTTTGGATGTAGAGCTTCTTTGAATTCATATATAAAGCGTGTCCTTGGTAACTAATAAATAGTTCTAACTTATAAGTTATAATTATTCTATTTTATTACTTTGTATAATTATAATTATTTACTAATTTATTTATTCATTTAACTTATATAGTCACATGGTGGGGCCATTATGGAGATGAAGTTCCAGAACTACATGCCTTTGCGACGAAGATATTGGGTCTTACTTGTTCGACATCGGCATGTGAACGTAACTGGAGTACGTTTAATCAAGTTCATACAAAAAGAAGAAACCGCTTGAGCACCGATAGGATGAATAACGTGGTGTACATCATGTACAATAAGAAATTGAAGCAAAAGTTTATCAGGAAGACTAACCTAAAAGAGTCTGATGATCCATTAGTTGTTGATGAGGTGTTGTCTGATGATGAGTAGATAGCCGACCCGAGTGATGAGTATGAGTGTAGCACCTGGTTCCTGGTATGTATTTCATTTATGTAATTTTACATTTTTGGCCTGGGACTCGGCGAGTTGATGGCCCAACTCGCCGAGTAGAAGCGGGATAGAACGCGGGGTTTAAGTATGGGACTCGTCGAGTCGGATCCTGGACTCGACGAGTAGGCTCTGTTTGGACAAAAACCCTAATCTGAGGGTTTGCACCCTATTTAATCATCTCATTCAGCCCCCACTCGTCCCTATTGCTCCCAGAAACCCTCCCTAGCAAACCCTAAGTGTTTTGGTGCAAGATTCAAGGCTTTTGAGTGATTTTGGTGGATTTTGATCACAAGGAAGAAGGAAGAGCATAGAAGGATCAAGAGGAGACTGAGGGATTCGAGTTTGGTGCATCATTTGCTGTTCTCAGAAGGTATAAAGTCTATACCTTGCTTGTTCCTTAGATCCCTTTTTGGGGAGATTTAGGGCTTTTATAAGTCATTCTTGATAGCCAACCATGATTGCAAGCATGGTTGGGGGTTGAGGCTTCGGATCTAGGTCCATGGAAGGTTCACAAGGCAGTTGGGGGTTGCTTTTGCACCCATGGAAGGTCCCATGCATCTTAAGAGCTTCTTTTTGGGCATTTTAGGCTCAAAGTCCCATGCATGCACGTAAAGTTTGTAACTTTACGTGCTAGATTGAGTTTAGGGACCTAGATCTATCATTTGGACAAGTGTTGCACTCCAGAAATCGAAGAAATAAGACTTGGACTGCATCGACTCGGCGAGTCGTTCTTGGGACTCGGCAAGTCCAAGGTTAGACTCCCCTTTTTCTGTTATGGTTCATGGGAACCAGTTGAGTGAAAGAAAGGTTTTAGAGGGTCCAAGGGAGTGACCCAAACGTATTGGGATAAGCCATAGTCCCGGAGTTCATAGGACTCGACGAGTGCACGAGCAGACTCGGCGAGTCCAAGGCAATCTCCCAACTCTTGAAGATGAACTCAACGAGTTGTTCATACAACTCGGCGAGTCGAGGACAGGACGTGTTCTTAGGATGAAGATGGACTCGACGAGTGTTCATACCACTCGGCGAGTCGGAAGAAGGTTCATCCGAGGTTGTGTTAGAAGGAGAACTCGTCGAGTCGTTGCTAAACTCGACGAGTAGGGACGTGGATGAGGACAGTTAAAGAAATAGGGACTCGACGAGTTGACGACCCAACTCGACGAGCCGGGTCAACTGGAAGTTGACTTTGACTTTGACTTGGACTTGGTGTGGGGTAAAATAGTCATTTTACCCTAAGGGGTAGATATCAGATTCTGATTAAGTGTTTTGTGGGGATTATAGCCGGAGGATTTCTGGAGCAGCAGCAGTCAGGGATTCCCCGCACAGATTATCAGCAGCTACTCGTTTGAGGTGAGTTACCTTCCAGTAGCGGTGGGTCTACGGCCACAATGTCGGCCCACCAGTAGGAGTTTTATGATTGATGATTGTCTTTGTGATATTCATCTAGGTTTGCTACTACCTGTTATGTTATGTGCTAGTATGATATGATGTTAGCAGTAGGGGAGATAGTCCCCAAGATTCCCGGTCGATAGGGCCGAAGGGGGTAGTCATACCCAGTCATGCTAGATGGAATATGATTATGTGTTACATGTTATGTGGTAGTAGTGGTGGGGTGAAATAGTCCCCAGTATCCGGTCGAGAGGACCGAAGGGGAAGTCAGCACCCAGATATGCTAGGCAGTATCCGGTCGAGAGGACCGAAGGGGAGGCCAGCACCCGGATATGCTAGGCGGTATCCGGTCGAGAGGACCGAAGGGGTAGGTCGGGCACCCAGATATGCCTGACAGTATATGTATGTTATGTGATTGTATGGTATGCGATACGATGGGGGAACTCACTAAGCTTCGTGCTTACAGTTTACAATTTTGGTTTCAGGTACCTCTTCAGCGAAGGGGAAAGAGCTGGCGCGGTAGCGGCACATCGTACACACACGCATTGATTTCCGCACTTGAGATATTCTGGGATTTTACTCTGACATGTTGCTATTATATGTTTTGGGTTTTCAGACATGATACATTGATTCACAAAATGATATATTGTTACGCAGTTTTCTTATGAATGTTTTATAATCCGTTAATTAAAATGAAATTTTTGGACTTGAAATTTGGGATGTTACAATGAGGAAGATGAAATTGATGTAGTTTGTAGGGCAATTGGGGAGAGAGGTGAAAGTTCTTCATCCAAGAAGCGGAAAAATGCTGAAGTGAATTCGGTTAATGAAGATGACGATGATGGACTAAATTTGGTTGATGAAGATGACATCTATCATGAGAACGATGAGCCAGAAAATGATTGCTTTTATAATTTTTGAATTTGGGCTCCATGCCTTTAAGACTTTTGTGCTAGGCTTTTCACTTTTGTGCTGTTGACATTTAAGGATTTAGGTTCCATGCCTTTAAGACTTTTGTGCTATTGACATTTAAGGATTTTGTGCTTCACTTTTATGCTACTGACTTGTCATATATCTCATTTAGATATAAAATTATGTTTTTTTATGAGATATATAATTTTATATAATTATTTATTAATAAACCTATGAGGCTTACGCCTTGTGAGGCTAAGGGCATAAGCCTCGAGGCCCGTTTCCGCCTTTTTAAACCTTGGTGAGATGTTCACTTTTACTTGAATTATGCAATAGATTTTGCTTATTCTCCTCTCACGACGTGCCTAGCTATTACGTTCCGACTCATGCATCTGTCGGTAAAGTAAAGCACGTCGAAAGTGATGCGCGCCCCCATAGAAAGAAGCCCGCTCGCCCGAAGTAGCATCCTTAGACACGTCCTTATCGCGGGAGGAGAAGAGATGAAAGATTCATAGTTTCAAAGACAGAAGACTTCTTATACAATAGAAGGGAAAGCAAGCTAATTCCAATGATTCGAGATCTGGATAATGCATTGAGTAAAGCTGCTGAAATAGGACCGCTTGTCAGCCTACTCCTCCATTTATAGATTTCTATTCTATAATAGAAGAAATGAAGCCTCGAGCTATTAATTACTATGAGAGCTAAGCTACTATTTTGCTTAAGAAAGATGGTCATAAAACGAGGGAAAACGTTCGTACGTTGCTAACCTCTTATTCTCCTATGTTGATAGTCTCGTCTGCTAGGATTTTCCGAACTTCCCTTCGCCTTTCTCTCTCTTAGTTAAAGGGGGTTTCATAGAATCATCCGATCGAGATACGGTTGTCAAATAGGGGAAGAGGAACGAGAGGCGTGGAACTGCAGAAAAGTAGTGCAGAGAACTAGTCAGAATTGGGCCTGCCATCCAATTTGTGACGTGGATGATCCGCCGAATCCATTGCTGACTTCACCATGATCGATTAGGTGAAACGGTTCCGCAAAGCCATTGTCCTATGGTTGCACTAAACTTTGAACTGGACTAAACGAAGACAAAGTGAAGTCGAAGAACAAAGTTGAGTCTAAACAATTTTAGATTCCACTGGCGTTTTTGCAATGTTCTCCCGACGCAGACTTATGCCATTACGCTCATGAGCAGAATGATAAAATATGGATCGGATCATGGCCCGGATACACTCTTCCATTCTTTCTCCATCTAGATGCCCAGAGAGGATGAAACAAAAAAGGTTGAGATTCGCCGTTCATTGTCTCAGTTCGGCTCAGACTGGTCTGACTTCGGGGTTGGGAGAGATCGGAAATAAGCTGTCGTAGGCTTGGATGGAGCTATTTATGGTGAAGAGGAATGAGATGAAATGGTCCCGCATGGTTGTTCCACACTTTAGTCTAATTCCTTGTGATGGACCAGGACGAGGCGGTACTTGTGATATTTCGGCTTGGGACGCATTTTCTTTAGCAGTTTTTTGGATGTTAAATACAATTGGATGGGTTACTTTTTATTGGCATTGGAAGCACATTACATTCTGGCAAGGTAATGTTTCGCAGTTTAATGAATCTTCCATTGACCCACTCTGGTTCTTTCTTCGCTTCTTCAATCGATACCGGCTCGTCATTGGTTGTTAGAAGAAGTTCTTCGAGATTATCAAGATCAAGCTCATTATCTTGAAATCGTCTTGGAGGTATTCCTGTTCACAAGGGCCTTTGATTTGCAGCTCCTTGTTGAACATTATTATTGACCAGACTTGGTTGTTTATTATCTTGTACTTCCGCTCCATCTCCAATCTCATGATCCGATTCAATCGGTTCCATTGGGTCATTGTTTACCTCGTTTCCTTGATTGTTGTTCATCTCGCCTTCTGGGTAGTCCCATGGTATTATGAATGAGCCCGGTTCTTCATTGTTGGTTCCTGCTTCTTTCATCCAATCCCACCCTTTGGTTTCATTAAAAATAACATCTCGACTCACGATTATTATTTTTGTCACCGAGTTAAATAACTGATAAGCTTTCATACCCGGTTCGGAACCAACATGCACTAGTGGTCTTGATCTTGCATCCAACTTCTTTAGATTAACCGGTTCAACTTTTGCATGTGCTAGACACCCAAATATACGAACATTTTCTAAATTCGGTTTTCTTTTCTACAACTTTTCGTATGGAGTTGTATCACCAATGACTCTTGTGTAAACGCGATTGATTAGATTTGTAGAGTGATTTACCGCTTCTCCCCATAAGTAGTTTGGAACATGCATTGCCTTCATTATACTTCATGTCATGTCCATAAGTGTTCGGTTTCTACGCTCCACAATTCCATTTTGTTGTGGAGAGTATGGGGCGGTAAGGTGGTGTTTGACTCCGTTTTGATCACAAAAAGAATTAAACTCGAGAGAAGTAAACTCACCTCCTCGATCTCTTCTAAACACCTTCAAAGGATTTCCAATTTCATTCTCCACCAAAGCTTTGAATTTTTTGAAGTGTGTAAACGGCTCACTCTTTTCTTTCATGAGATAAATCGACATAAATCGTGAAATCATCAACTGGTGTAAAAATATACCGTTTTTGACCCTTGGTTTCCGGCGTGATCGAACCG